TTATTCGTATAATTAAAATTTTCATTGTTCTAGTTCTTAATAATCTTTTTATTTATTAGCACTAATGGTTATAATATTTATATTTAAATAGTAACGTAACATATTGTAAATTTATATAAACTTTTAGTAAAGTATAATATATTATTTTGTAAATAAAACATTTTAGTATGTGTTAGTATTACTAATTATTATTTACTTATTATTACTTATTATTCTAAATTAAATCAGTATTATTAAATAATTTTTTGTTTTTTTTTTGTATAAAAAATTCGACTAAAATTAAAAGACATAATATTAAAAAAATAATAAAAATTAATTATGAGTAACTAATTATCATCACTAAATACGTATACCTAAAATGATGCATTATTCAGTTATGTACACTTTCATCGGATGATGTCATTGTGTCTCACATGTATCTACGTTCGCATACCACAAGGTCGTCAGCGCCATGACTGCTGGAATGACGTATTTACATGGCACACTAATGCATGGTTACGCCCTTTGACGGTGGAACACGAAACATGAAATTTATATATTATATTTCTTCATTTTCTTCCTTCTTTTTCTCTTCTATTTTTTACTATTTCATTTCTCAATATAATTAAAAAAAAAAGAAAACTTAATACTAAAAATATATAAAAAAATAAATTTAATAAAAAATAGATTTTAATATTATATAAGTTTCTTTCTAAATTATTTTCTATTAATCTATTTTAAGAATTTGTATATAATTATATCATATATGTAAATTTATATAATCTTGAAAAAATGATAAGAAATTTTATATAGTTTATAAACTTTATAATTAAACTGACTAACAAATAGTAGTTTTTAATTTAATTCCGTAACTTAAAATTATATAATATAATTGTCTATTTATAAAAATATTAATTAAAATTAATAACATTATTATCAATAATAATTTATACCTAATAAATCATTTAATGAATTAATAAAAATATTACATTTTTATTTAATCATAATATATATAATGAAATATAATTCAAATAATTTTTATTAATAAAAAATAATAATTTATAAATACTTAAGAAACAATTTTCAATGATTTGTTAATAAAAATAAATATAAATAATAAATAAAAAAAATAAATAAATCATGATTATTGAATAAAAAAATATTTGAATATTGAATGAATATTAATAAAACTTACTGAACGCTTAGAAGCGTGAGATCGTGGATAGTGTTGTCTGGAAGATAAGGGAATGACATTTGCATCCGGTAAAGGGAGTTTCCGTGATTCTTCTCTTACTATTTTCCTTGGGTTCAATTATACACAAAGAAAGAGCGATCGTCAGTCTTCTCATCCAGCGCTGTGATTCGTCCAACTTTTCCAACCCAATCGGTATTCACCAATCATAGAACAGTTCAACAGAGGAAAAAAGAGAAATACTAGAAAATTTGAAAACACGTCTTA